ATTCCCACATGGCCCACCACAGTTCATATCCTGGACCCAGCGACTTGAAAATTACACTGGGTCGGGACCAGTAGGTGGCATGGTGGTTAAGGCGCTGGACACTCCCACATGGCTGACCATGGTTTGAGTCCTGGACCTGGCAACTTGCTTTCTCACTTTCTCTCTTTCTCTCTCTCTCCCTCTCTGGCTTTCCCTGGTCAAATTAAAAAATAAAATGAATGAATAAATTAAATTAAATAATTCTTAAAAAAATACTTTTATAAGAAAATTACACTGGGTCTCGACCAGCAGTTAGCATAATGGCTATGTAGCTGGACTCCCATGTAGTTGACCGCGGTTCGAGTCCCAGACTCAACAGCTTAAACTCACGCTGGGCGCGCGAGCATGCATGCCCAAGATCACAAGAGAATGGAGGAGAAGGGATTGCGGTGTGGCCATTCCCCTGGGGGGTGATTTCTCGCTTTCTGTCTCTCTGTGTCTCTCTGTCTTTCTGGCAAGTGCACGTGCCCTATAGCAAAAACCTCTTAAAAAAAAAAAAAAAGAACCCTGAGTTCTTACCAGGTGGGTGAAGATTCCACCTACAAATTCTTTGAGGTTCTCCTCATTGATCCGTTCCATAAAGTTATCAGAAGAAATCCTGACACCCAGTGGATTACCAAACCACACAAGCTCAGGGAGCTGCGGGGGCTGACATCTGCAGGCTGTAACAGCCGAGGCCTTGGAAAAGGCCTCGTTCCACCCCACTCTTGGTGGCTCTCACCGTGCAGCTGGGAGAAGGCCCAAGATTCTCCAGCTCCACCGTGACTGCTAATCTAAGAAATGTTTGTGAAATTCATGCCTAATAAACAATTTAGGACAAAAATAAATAAATAAATGGCGGTGAGAATGCAGTTAACAACTTACTGTATGTAAGATTACAAACAGTTGAGGTGATGGGTATACTATTGACTCTGATTTATTTATTTTTATCCTTTTAGAAGATTTATTTCGTTTTATTTTATTTTATTCATTATCATTATCTTACTTTATTTTTATGTAGTTGACCAGCAAGAGACAGAGCGAGAAAGAAAGTGAGAAAGCAAGCTGCCAGGTCTGGGACTCCAACCCAGACTGGGGTCAGCCATGTGGGAGTACAGCTGCCTTAACCACCATGCCACCTGCAAGCCCCTAATTATTTATTTTTTAAAAAAAGAATTTTTTATTTTATTTTTATTATTATTATTTTTAATTTGACCAGAGAGAGAGGGAACCAGAAAGTGAGAAAGCAAGCTGCCAGGTCTGGGACTCAAACCATGATCCGCCTTGTGGAAGTCCAGTGCCCTTAACCACCACGCCACCTTCCCCCCCCCATTTAATTATTATATATTGTATCCATGAGCTGAGAACTCACGGTATAACAATTGTTAGGTTAAAAAGAAAAACGAATGAATGAGTAAAAGAAAAAGACACTGAGAGTCGCAGAAGGCACAGCCAACTCGGCTGCGCCCAGGTCTGGGTTGGGGCGGGCCTAATCCTGGGGGCGGGGCCAAAACGCCGAAGGGGCGGAGCCAGGACGCCGAAGGGGCGGAGCCAGCAGCTGCGGCGCCGCGGGGCCAGCGCGGCCCAGGACGTCCCCGTCGCCTCCGGCCCCGCCTCCTAGGGCGGGACGTGCGCGGCGATTGGTGCGTGCGGGAGAAAGGTGGTTGCCATTGGCCTGGAGCGCTGTCAGCTCGGCGGGCGGTGCCCGGACGCAGGTACTGGCCAGAGCGGAGCGAGCGGCACTGACTGGCCGGGCCGGGCGCGGACAAGCGGCACCGGCCACGCTGCGAGCGGGCCCGCCCGGCCCGGCCGCGGATAAGGTATGCATGGGCCGGCGGGTAGGGTCAGAGGACGCAGGTCCGCGGTCTGGCCCCGGGTTCGAAGCCAGAGCTTGGCCCCCAGCGGCACAGCCGCCCTGGGACCCTTGGCCTCAGCCTTCCTCGGGACGCGGGGCTCGCAGTTGGTTTCTCGAGAGCGGTGGGGGATCCCTGGGTCCTGACACGCAGTAGGCGCCTCTCTGAGCCTCGGTTTCCCAGTTTATGAAACTGGGTCATCCCATTGCCAGCCGGATAGGGCTTCTGGGGGGTTTCAGGAGGTGGCCCGGCACACAGTAGGGTGACAATAAGTGACCAATGCCCTTCTCCAATCTCCTCCTCGGAGAGGCTCTGCCTAGAAAGTAGTGAAAATTATAACGAGCCAAGCACTGTGCACAAAGACGGGCAAACAGCGTGGACAGGGTTTATTTACACTGATGAGGAAGTTGGTGCCCGGAGAGGTTAAGTCTTTTGCCCTGGGCCACACAGCAAATAAAGGGCAGAGCTGGGATTAGAACCTGGCTTATGACGCAGAGGTGTGAAAGCACCGCAGGACACACGGGAGAGTGTGGGGAGGGAAGAGAAATGATTATGTTTGACAGGCTCCATATTTATCCTAAGGAAAAAAGAAAAAGGGCCAACCAGTGGCGGGATGGTTAAGGCAGCTGGATCTGGCGTGGCCGACTGTGTGGTTCAAGTCCTGGACCCGATGACTTGAGAAACACACACTAGGGGTCTGTATGTGTGTGCGTGTGCGTGTGTGTGTGCATGCATGCCTAAAACCCCAAAAGGAGGAAGAAGTGGAGGAGGATGGTGTGACCAGTCCCCAAAAGAGGGTGTTTATTTTTTCCCCCTTTCTCTTTCCAGTGAGTACATATGCTGTCTAGTAAATTATTTTTTTAAAGTCAGCATTTAGAAGGATTTACTGTATACTAAGTACTGACTGTGTGTCCTTTCAGACCTTCCCAACAGTTCTGTAAATTATAATCATTATTAATCATGATAACAAATGTAAGAAGATCTAATACTTGTTGATCTCTTTTTTTTAAAAAAAGAATTACTTTGTTTAGCTTTATTTATTTATTTATATATTTAATTTTGACCAGAGAGAGCAGGAAGGAGAAAGTGAGACAGTAAGTCACCAGGTCCGGGACTTGAACTAGATAGGTAGCCATGTGGGAATCCAGCGCCTATAACCACCATGCCATCTGCCGGCCCTGATCTCTTTTTTAAAAGATTTACTTATTTAATTGTATTTATCATCATCTTTATTATTATTTTTTAGTGAGAGAGAGAGAGGGAGTGCATGGGAGTAAGAAAGCAAGTCACCAGGTCTGGGACTTGAACCTTAGCTATGTGGGAGTCCAGCACTTTAACTCCCACGCCACACGCTGGCCCTTTGACCTCGTGTTTTAAAGTTTATGTATGTATTTATTTATTTTTGTTATATAATTTTCTATAGATCACGTGTTTTCGACAGGGAGAGACAGCGAGAGAGCGAGAGAAAGAGAACGTGAGAAAGCAAGCCGTCAGGTCTGGGACTTAAACTGCTGTAAGCCATGTGGGAGTCTAGTGCCTTAACACCCATGCCACCTGCTGGTCCCCTCACTGACCTCTAATCTTAAGTGGTTTATGAGTTAGGTACCAGTGTGACCCCTGTTTACTTTTTTTAAGTGTTTGCTAAAAAACTGGTTTGTATGTGGTTCCTTTTTTTTCCCTTCAGATTTTTGCCAGTGGGTGCGTGTGCTCGCTTGAGACAGAAAGAGGGAAAATGAGAAAACACTCCCTCCCTCCATCAATCCCTTCTCTTCCATCTTTCTTTCTTGTTGGGATTTTGGACACAGATGCACTTGGTGTTTCTCAAGCTACCAGGCCTGGGACTTGAACCATGCAATTGGCCATGTGTGATCCAGACACCTTAACCATCACACCATGGGCTGGCTCTCCCAGTTCTTGATCTGTATTAGCAGATTAATGGTTTGTTTTCCCCTCTCTCCCAAAGTAAAAGAAACAATAGAACTTTTTTTTTTTTTTAAGAATTATTTCCTTTATTTTATTTATCTTTATTACTGTTGTTATTATTTTTTTTTTGAGAGGTTTTTGCTATAGGGCTTGTGCACTTGCCAGAGAGACAGAGAGACAGAAAGCGAGAAGTCACCCCCCCCAGGGGGGATGGCCACGCTGCAATCCCTTCTCCATTCTCCTCTCGGGATCTTGGGCACACACGCACACACACCAGCATGAGTTTGAGCCGCCGAGTCTGGGACTTGAATTGCAGTCGACTACATGAGAGTCCAGTGACATAACCATTACCCTAACTGCTGGTCCCATTATTTTTAATTTTTTAAAGAATTATTCATGTATTTATTTCTATTTATTATTATTAATTTGGCTAGGCAGAGACACAGAGACAGAGAGAGAGGGAAAGTGAGAAATCACCCCCAGGGTGGATGGCTACCTGCTGGCCTGAAATATATGTATTTTTTAAGTTCATTGATTTATTTCTTCAGTGAGTGAGACAGACAGACAGAGAGACACACATACCCTGCAGTCCATCCAGCCTCAGCCAGCCCCAGCTCGCCGTGTACTGAAGGGAGGGCCCTGGCTGTGAACCTGGAACCTTCCCATGTGAGTCAGCCTCACGGAGCACTGTGTTCCAGCTGCATCACCGTCTGGCCCCTGTTTGCAGAAATCTTTTTTTTTCCCCTAATTTTATTCATTTATTTATTTTAATTTGACTAGAGAGAGGCAGAGAGAAAGAAAGAGAAGGAAAGCAAGCTGCCAGGTCTGGGACTCAAACCACGGTCAGCCATGTGTGAATCTAGCACCTTAACCACCATGCCACCTGCCGGCCCCTTGCAGAAATCTTGAGACCAATCCTGGAGCGGGGAGCGCAGGAGGGATGGACTCTCTGTACACACATCTGCTTGGAGAGCCCAGAGCTTCCCTGATAACCTGAGCTGGAGGTCCTGGTCATAGGCACTCACAAGGGACAACAGTGTCCACGGCATGGTGGGCCTGGCCACCCCCCTGTGGATGTTATCTCTGCACCCAGCCTTCCTGCCGGCTCCTGCCTTGGGCAGATAAGTGCTTATCTGGCCTCCGGGGGTGCCCAGCTGCGAAGGGAGGGCCCAGGATGACTCCGCCTGAGCCGGGTGGAGAGTGTGGACCCAGACCCACTGAGCACTGGCCTGGTGCGGAGAGTGAGTCGGGACCTCACGCCGCTCTCTCCCCCTCTCTGTGGGTCTCAGATTTGGACTGGCAAGGGTTAGTAAAAGCTGACATGGGGTTGGAGTGCGGGCACCTAGAAGGAGTTGGACTGTCTCCCTCCTGTGGGGTTTTCTGAGCGCTAGACGGGCTGCCGGGGGCTCTGGACCACAGCTCTTGGGGACAAAGGCCTGGGATTGGGCAAGTTTGGGACAGATTTTTGACCCCAGGGGACGTGTACTGGCTTTACAGGAGCCTCTAGAGGAGCCTCTGTTATTTTCATGCAGTTCTCAGCAGGATGGGGGCTCTCTACTCCCATCTTCTTGGCTGGCTCTGGGTGGAGGAGGAGGTATCCTAAGGCTCCTTCTTGCTGGAGCTTCCAGAAGGCAGGTCACCCACCGCAGACTTGAGAATTGCTGCCTAAGGTTCCAGATGTCCCCTGTGGACTCCTCCTAGAGACAGAGGGTTGGCTCAGAGTCCTCCTGCCCACCCCCCCACCAATAAGCTGGTGCCACTTCCGTGACACTCCAAGGCATCAGGGAGTATACAGCCCTGTGAAAGGCCATGGACCAGAAGGGTCGTGGTGACTCCCGTTCCGAGCTATGTGGCTAAGTTTTGTTTGTTTGTTTGTTTCTTTTTTTAGAGGTTTTTGCTATAGGGTGTGTGCTTTTGCCAGCCAGACAGAGAGAGACAGAGAGACAGAAAGCAAGAAATCATCCCCCAGGGGGAATGGCCACGCCGCAATCCTTTCTCCTCCATTCTCCTCTTGGGATCTTGGGTACGCACGCACATGTGCCCAGCGTGAGTTTTAAGCCACCGGATCCAGGACTCGAACTGTGGTCGACTACATGGGAGTCCAGCGACATAGACATTACGCTAACTGCTGGTCCCATCTTTATTATTACTTTTTATTTTTTCTTCTTTTTTTTGGAGAGATTTTCACTGTAGGGCGCATGCGCTCGCCAGACAGACAGAGAGAGACATAGAGACAGAAAGCGAGAAATCACCCCCCAGGGGGGATGGTCACGCCGCAATCCCTTCTCCTCCATTCTCCTCTCGGGATCTTGGGCACGCACGCACACGCGCCCGGCGTGAGTTTTAAGCCACCGGGTCCGGGACATGAACCGCGGTCGACTACGTGGGAGTCCAGCGACATAGCCATTACGCTAACTGCTGGTTCCCTCTTTATTATTACTTTTTAAAAAATTTGACAAGAGAGAGAAATGGAGAGTGAGAAAGCAACCTGCCAGGTTTGGGACTTGAACTGTGGTTGGCCATGTGGGAGTCCAGTGCCTTAGCCACCACAGCACCTGCCCCCCCCCACTTTTAAAGAATTATTTAATTTCATTCATCATTATTATTATTATTTTTTTTTTTAGAGATTTTTGCTATAGGGCTCGTGTGCTTGCCCAAGAGACCAAGAGACAGACAACAAGAAATCACTCCCCCAGGGAGGATGGCCACACCTTAGTCCATTCTCCATTCTCTCAGGATGTTGGACACACACATGCACATGCCTCGCATGAGTTTTAAGCCACCAGATCCGGGACTCAAACTGTGATTGACTACCTGGGAGTCCAGTGATGTAGCCCTTATGCCATCTGCTGACCTCATTATTAATTTTGAAATTTAACCAAAGAGAGAGAGAGAGAGAAAGTGAGACAGCAAGCCACCAGATCCAGGACTCGAACCATGATCAGCCTTGTGGGACTCCAGTGCCCTAACCACCATACCACCTACTACCCCTGTGTGTGACCAAGTTTCTAGTTTCGTTTTGCTCCTCTCAAAGGAAGGTTTGGACTTAGCTCCATAGCCTGGTGGTTAAGGCAGCTGGAACCCACATGGCCAGCTGCGTGGTTTGAGTCCCAGACCCAGTGGCTTGAGAAATATGCTGAGCGTGTGTACATGCACGCCCGAAACCCTGACAGGCAGGAGACATGGAGGAGAAAGGGTTATGATATTACCATCCCCTATGGATTGCTTTCTTCTCTCCTTTCTTTCGATCTCTGTCTCTCTCTGGTGGCGAGTACATGCACTCTCTAGCAGAAAAAAAAAAAAAAAAAGGTGAGTTCGTGTGCTCTGAGCCCAGGCTTCCTACCCAGGAATCCAACGCTCTGTGGGGCTGGCAGGCTGGGGTGGATCTGGCCCCAGAACGTGCCATGCATCCGCTTTGGCATGCAGTGCTTAGCGACTGTCAGGTGCTGTTTCCGCACCTGGGAAGGTGACGGAAGACGGTCTGCAGGCTTTGGGGGCAGGACTCAGCCTGGCTCAGGGGAGCGAGAGATAATATGACCCCGAGCCCCTCGACGCACCAGGCCTGGGGTGAGTTGCATGTACGTGATTTCATTAACTCACTTTCTCTCTGTCTCTCTGTCTTTCTGGCGTGCGTATGTGCCCTATAGCAAAAACCTCTCAAAAAAAAAAAAAAAATTCGGTGAGATGGGGCCAGCCCTGTAGTCTAGTGGTTAAGGGAGGTCGATCCCACATGGCCAGCCACACTTTGAATCCCAGTCCTGGCATCTTGAAAAACACCGGGTTCATATGCATGCATGCTTAAAAATCCCGACAGGATGGAGAGACAGAGGAGCAGAGATTGTGGTGTGACCCTGCCCCACTGGGGGCTGCCTTCTGTCGCTTTGGTAAATACCTTTGCATTCTGGCAATTAAAAAAAATGATAGAGATCTCAAAAAAAGGGGGGGGGCGGCAGGTAGCGTGGTGATTAAGGCGGTGGACTCCCACATGGCTGACCACGGTTTAAGTCCCAGACCTGGCCACCTGCTTTCTCCCTTTCCCTTTTTCCTGTCTCTCTCTGGTCAAATATTAAAATAATAACAAATAAAGGTAAATAAGTAATTCTAAAAAATTTTAAAAGAGACCAGCAAATAGTGCAATGGTTATACATCACTGAACTCCCGTGTAGTCGACCACAGTTCAAGTCTTGGACCCGGCAACTTAAAATTCAGGCCAGACAACTGGCAGGTTAGGTATGGTGGTTAAGGCAGCTGGCCTCCCACATGGCTGACTGCGGTTCAAGTCCTGGATCTGGCAGTTTGCTTTCTCACTTTCCTTCTCTCTCTTTGTCTGTCTCTGATCAATTTTAAAAAAATGAAAATTAGTAAAATTAAATTAAAAAATAATTTTTTTGGAGAGGTTTTTGCTATAGGGTGCATGCACTTGCCAGAAAGACAGAGACAGACAGAAAGACAGAAAGTGAGAAATTACCCCCCGGGGGGATGGCCATGCCATAGTCACTTCTCTGTTCTCCTCTTGGGATCTTGCTTATGCACACACACAGGCCTGGAGTGAGTTTAAGTCACCGGGTCCAGGACTCGAACCACAGTCAACTATGTGGGAGTCCGGGGACATAGCCATTCGCTGACCACTGGTCCCTGAATTTTTTTTTCCTAAGAATAATTTTACTGGGACTGCAGGCGGCATGGTGGTTAAGGCACTGGACACTCCCACATGACTGACTGTGGTTTGAGTCCTGGACCCAGTGGCTTGCTTTTCCACTTTTCTCTCGCTCTCTTGCTCTTTCGCTCTGTCCCTTTCTGGACTGACTGACTGACTGACTGACTGACTAAATAAATAAATCTAAATTTAAAAAATGAATTATTTTACTTAACTTTATTTTTATTTACTTATTTATTTTGATTTGACCAGAGAGGAACAGAGTGAGAGAGAGTGAGAGAGAGAGAGGGAAAGTGAGAAAGCAAGTTCCCAGGTCTAGGACTCGAATCACGGTCAGCCATGTGGGGGTCCAGCGTCCAGCGCCCTTCACCACCACGCCACCTGCCAGCTCCATCACACTGAATGTATTTTTTAAAAAATTATTTTATTTAACTTTATCAATTTATTCGTGTATCCATTTTTATTTGACCAGAGAGGTACAGAGTGAGAGAGGAAGTGAGAAAGGAAGCTGCCTAGGTCCGGGACTCGAACCTTGGTTGGCCGTGTGGGAGTTCAGCGCCCTTAACCACCATGCCACCTGCCGGCCCCTCATTGAGCTTTTATACCTTCCCACAAACCTCCATTTTACAGATCAGGACAAAGAGGCTCACAGAGGCAAGGCCTTGTTTGTGGTTCTAGGGCCTTGCCAAAAGGGGACTCTATCCCTCATGCATCAGGTTCACTAATTGTGCCCTTAACCCCCCCAGGCCCCAGGGACCATGGGCCTCGGGCCCTGAGGACGCCGGGCTCCCTGTGGCCATGACGACGGGGGACTGCTGCCACCTCCCCGGCTCCCTGTGCGACTGCTCTGGCAGCCCGGCCTTCTCCAAGATCGTGGAGGCCACAGGTCTCGGGCCACCCCAGTATGTGGCACAGGTGACGTCGAGGGACGGCCGGCTCCTCTCAACTGTCATCCGGGCTTTGGACACGCCAAGGTGAGTGGTGACCAGGTGGTGTCCTGCTCCCTTCCCCTCGCCCCTTTCCTCTTTGGGCTGAGGGATTTCCCCCTGGTCTGGAGTCAGAGCTCAGACATCTAGAGGAGGTGGATGGGTGACATGTCAGCGAAAATGGTTCAAAAAAGAGGAAAAAAAATGAAGGGGCTCAAGCAGTTAACTTCCATGTCGAAACAGAGACCTGAGCTGGCCAGGCCTGGTTCTTCAGGAAAGTCGGAAATTCCAGATTTTCTAAAAAATCAAGTTTATTTTTTAAGGTTTTGCCATACGGCTATGTCGCTGGACTCCCATGTACTCGACTGTGGTTCGAGTCCCGGACCTGGTGGCTTAAACTCATGCCAGGCGTGTGTGTGTGTGTGTGTCCAAGATCCTGAGAGGAGAGTGGAGGAGAAGGGATTGCGGCGTGGCCATCCCCTCTGGGGAATGATTTCTCGCTTTCTGTCTCTGTCCCTATCTTTCTGGCGAGTGCACATGCATTCCATAGCAAAAATGTCTCAAAAAAAGCAAAAACAAAAACAAAAACAAAAAAACAGGGACCAGCAGTTAGCGTAATGGCTATGTTGCTGGACTCCCATGTAGTCGACTGCAGTTCGAGTCCCAGACCCGGTGGCTTAATCTCACGCCGGGCGTATGTGCGTGCTTGCCCAAGATCCTGAGAGGAGAATGGAGGAGAAGGGATTGCGGCGTGGCCATCCCCTCTGGGGGGTGATTTCTCGCTTTCTATCTCTCTGTCTCTCTCTGTCTGTCTGGCAAGTGCTTGCGCCCTATACCAAAAACCTCTCCAAAAAAAGAAAAAAAAAAGAAAAAGAAAAAAAAACCAAAACAGTAGGGAGGTTGCCCTGGACAATCAGAGTGGTATTGCAGAAAAAGGTGAAGAGGACTTTGAGAGGGCACAAGAGATGCTCATCCTGGGCCAAAAAAGGTGCCGCAGGAGCCCTGGAAAGGAAACGTATCAGTTTACCTGTGGGGGTCTGGGAAGGCTTCCCAAAGGAATGGGCATTTGCAGGTGGGCATTGAAGGATGAGTAGGAGTTTTCCAAGTAGCAGCTGGAGGCACCAGCAAACCTGCAATCCAGTGGGCAGTCAGACAGGAGTAGGCAGGAAGCCCACTTGCTCATGGGTCTTACTCTGCCCAGTGACGGTCCTTTCTGCCGGATCTGCCATGAGGGAGCGAATGGGGAGAGCTTGCTGTCTCCGTGCGGCTGCGCCGGGACGCTGGGCGCCGTGCACAAGAGCTGCCTGGAGAGGTGGCTTTCTTCGTCCAACACCAGTTACTGTGAGCTGTGCCACACGGAGTTCGCGGTGGAGAAGCGGCCCCGGCCCCTCACAGAGGTACCCTTGGGAGCCTGAGGAGGGAGTGGGCACGGGGAGGAAGGCAGGCCCAAGGCCCGGAGATAGGAGCTGCCCTGGGGAGGGTCCCAGGAGGCTGGGGAAGTGGCTTCCCTATAGAGAGGGGCTCCCATCTCCTCCCTGGGGAGATTCTGCTGATGGTGGCGGGGACCAGGCCTGAGACTCAAGATCTACCCAAACCTGTATCCCTTCCCCGTTTTTGTTGTGGTTTTTGGTTTTTGCTGTGCAGCGCACGTGCTTGCTACAACAAGAGAGCAGAGGGAAAGCGAGAAAGTGTCCCCTGTGGTAGGGGGATGGGCACGCTGCAACCCTTTCTCCTCCATTCTCCTCTCGGGATCTCGGGCACGCACCTACACGCGCCCAGCGTGAGTTTAAGCCACCGGGCCCAGGACTCAAACCACGGTCAACTACATGGGAGTCCAGCGACATAGCCATTACACCATCTGCTGGTCCTGCCCCACTGTTTTTAAGCTGTCTAGTCGAATGGCACAGTCAGCCATGTGAGATCCAGCTGCCTTCACCTCCAAACCACCTGCTGGTCTGCTCAGTGAGCATTTGAAAGAGAGTTTTTTTTTTTTTTTTGAGGGAGAGGTTTTTGCTATAGGGCCTGTGTGCTCGCCAGACAGACAGAGAGAGACAGAGAGACAGAAAGCGAGAAATCACCCCCCGGGGGGGGGCTGCCACGCCACAATCCCTTCTCCTCCATTCTCCTCTCGGGATCTTGGGCACGCCCCCACACGCCCGGCATGAGTTTTAAGCCACCGGGTCCGGGACGCGAACTATGGTCCACCACATGGGAGTCTAGCGACATAGCCGTTACGCTAACTGCTGGTCCCGAGAGTTGTTTTGGTTGTTATAGGGTGCTTGAAGTAGAGACAGAGAGACTGAAAGTGAGAAATCAGCCCCCAGGGGAGATGGCCACACCACAATCCATTCTCCTCCATTCCCCTCTTGGGATCTTGGGCACGCATGCACATGTGCCCGGAGTGAGTTTTAAGCCGCTGGGTCTGGGAATCGAACTGCCGTCCACTACATGGGAGTCCAGCGATGTGACCGTTACTCCATCTGTTGGTCCCTCAATGAGCCTTGGAAGAAAGAAAGGGCAGGCGAGGCCCCTGCCTGGAGGCCTTGCGTCCCCCTAGCCCCAGGAGCCCCTCCGCTGCCTCTCCCCCTGCAGTGGCTGAAGGACCCCGGGCCGCGAACAGAGAAGCGGACGCTGTGCTGCGACATGGTCTGCTTCCTCTTCATCACGCCGCTGGCGGCCATCTCGGGCTGGCTGTGCCTGCGCGGGGCCCAGGACCACCTGCGGCTCCACAGCCGGCTGGAGGCCATGGGGCTCATCGCCCTCACCATCGCCCTCTTCACCATCTACGTGCTCTGGACACTGGTGAGTGCCAACAGCAGGGGCTGCTGCACCAGGCGTTGGGTCCGGTGGAGGGGATCCTCTGAAAAAAACCCACGTGTGTGGAGTTCAGGGTTCCGAGCAGGACCCACCACCCAGGACCTGAGACTGGGGTTGCTGGGGTGGAAGGGGGCAGGAAGAGGGAGAGAGCGAGAGGGCTGGCAAGCCGAAAGCCGAGAGTGAGAGACTGGGAGAGAACGAGACAAGAGGGAGGAGAGAGACATTAAGAAATTACAGGGGGGGAGAGAGACTGAAACCAAAAAACAGAAAAATGGCAGGGGGAGAGACAGAAACAGAGGGGCTGGGCTGGTGGGGTGCCGTGCCACGTTTCTGGCAGGACTAGAACCCTTACTTGGAGGGATGTCCTCTCTGCCCCCATAGCATCTGTCAGACTTAACTGCTACTGTGCAGTGGTGTATGGTGTGAGGGGTCCTCTCCTGAGGAGTTATATATATTTTTTTCTGGAGAGAGTTTTTTTTTTTTATGAATTATTTAATTTTATTCATTTTCATTATTTTATTTTATTGTTTTTTTGAAGTTGACCAGTGAGACTGAGAAAGAGAGAAGGAAAGTGAAAAAGCATGTTGCCAGGTCCAGGACTCAAACTGCTGTCAACTGAAACCAGCAGTTAGCGTAATGGCTATGTCATTGGACTCCCATGTAGTTGACCGCGGTTCGAATCCCGGATCCAGTGGCTTAAACTCATGCCAGGCGCGTGTGCATGCGTGCCCAAGATCCCGAGGAGAATGAAGGAGAAGAGATTGCGGCATGGTCATCCCCACTGGGGGGTGATTTCTCGCTTTCTGTCTCTCTGTCTCTGTCTTTCTGGCAAGCACATGTGCCCTATAACAAAAACGTCTCTAAAAACAAAACAAAACAAAAAAAACCCCTGCTGTCAACCATATGGGAGTCCAGCTGCTTTAACCAACATGCCTTCTGCTGGCCCATGTTTGGAGAGATTTTTGCTATAGGGTACATGCACTCTCCAGAGAGACACAGAGAGATGGAGAGACAGAAAACAACAAATCCGGGGCCAGCAGGTGGCATGGTGGGTGAGGCGCTGGACTCCCACATGGCTGACCACAATTCGAGTCCCAAACCTGGTGGCTTGCTTTCTCACTTTCCCTTTCTCTCTCTCTGGTCAAATTAAAAAATAATAATAACAAATGGAATTAAATAAATAAATAAATCTTTAAAAGGAAAAAAGAAAACAACTCTCTGGAAGCGAGAAAGCAAGCCACCAGGTCCAGGACTCGAACCCTGGTCAGCCACGTGGGACTGTCCAGCGCCTTAACCACCACCCCACCTGCTGGTTCCAACAACTCTCTGTTTTTGAAAAATTGCTATAGGGTGTGTGTGCTCACCAGAAAGAGTCAGGAGCGGTGTGGAGGGAAGAAGTGAAGAGAAAGTGAGATGCCTCCTCCCAGGGGGATGGCCATGCTGTAACCCCTTCTCTTCCATTCTTCTCTCAGAAATCTGAGCACTTACCCAGCACGTTTTTCAAGTTGCTGGGTTCAGAACTCAAACCACTGAGCCAGCCACGTGAGTTCCAAGCTGCCTTAAGCTCTATGCCATCTGCTGGCCTCACAAATTAAAAAAAATAATAATAAAATTGAAAAGACTTGAAAAAACGAACATATATGCTGGTGGGGTATACTGAAAACTACTTCTTGGATCAGCCTGCTGCCTGGTGGGTAAGATGACTGAATCCTACTTGGCCAATCAAGGGTTTCAAATCCCGGACCTAGTGGCTTAAAAAAAAAAAAAACCAGCAGCTCCCCACCAGCCACTCACTGTATGGATGTACTGTGTTTATTTAGCTGATCCCTTCTAACAGGCACTGGGATTCTTTCCAATGTGGATTATTTTTTTTTTTAACGGTTATGAACGGTGTTTCCGTCCCGCCTATACAAATATTTCGTGGGAACTCACTTGGCTGAAGGGTTTGAGCTTTGGCTTTTTTTTTTATTATTATTATAAAAAGAATTCTTTAATTTAATTTTTATTTATTCATCCATTTTATTTTAATTTGACCAGAGAGATAAAGAAAGAGAAAGTGAAAAAGCAAGCCACCAGGTCCAAGATTTGAACCGTGGTCAGGCATGTAAGAGCGTCCAGTGCCTTAACCACTATGCCACCTGCGTTAGTTTTTAATTTTTTCTGTTACTGTAGCAGAGGGGTGCATTTGTTACAATCGATGAACCTCCTTCTGGAAGTCACTGTAACTAAAGTCAGTAGTTCATGTTAAGGTTCATTCTTGTTTATTTATTTATTTTTTAACTGGCAGAGGGTGCATTCATTCACCAGCGAGAGAGCGAGAGGCAGACAGAGAGAGAAGAAATCACTCCCCAATGGGAGGCAGTCACGCCACGATCCCTTCTCCATTTTTCCTTCTGGGTGAGATCTTGGGGCCCACATGCACATGCCCAGTGTGTTTTTCACACTGCCAGGGCAGGATCTAAACCATGGTTCGCCGCGTGGGATCTGGCTGCTTAACCAGTGGGCTCTGGGGCTTCTCCGTTCTTGGTTTTGACAAATGTGTAATAACACATATTCACTATTACTGTATTACACTGAGTACTTTCAGGGCCCTAAACACCCTCTGTGCTCCACTTATTCATCCCTCCTCCCCTCCAACCTCTGGGGACTGCTTTTTTTATTTTTATTTTTAAAATAATTATTTTATTTAACTTTATTTATTTGTCTTACTTTTAATTTGACCAGAGAGGGACAGAGCGAGAGGGCAAGAGAGAGAGAGAGAAAGTGAGAAAGCAATCTGCCAGTCCAGGACTCGAACCATGGTCGGCCATGTGGGGGTCCAGCACCTTAACCACCACGCGACCTGCTGGCTCCCTTGCTGATCTTTTTAGTCTCCACAGATGTACCAAATGGTCTACCCTGTCAGTTGTAATCACACAGCATGTAACCTTTTTTTGGTTAGTTTTTGAAGAATTATTTTATTTAACTTTGTTTGTTTGTTTGTTTATTTATTTATTTAAATTTGACCAGAGAGGGGGAGAGAGAGAGAGAGAGAGAGATTGAGAAAGTAAGCTGCCAGGTCCAGGACTCAAACTGTGGTCGGCCATGTGGGAGTCCAGCACCCTTAATCACCATGCCACCTGCTAGCCCACATGTAGCCTTTTTAAATGACCTTCTTTCACTTAGTGATTGGCATGCAAGTTTCTCCTAGGTCTTTTCATGGCCTGAAAACTATTTTATTTTACTTTTTTTAAGAGAGATTTTGTTTTGTTTTGTGTTGCGTGTGTTCCCTGGAGAGACACAGACAGACAGACGGAAACTGAGAAATCATCCCCCGGGGGATGACAATGCTGCAATCCCTTCTCCTCTCGGGATCTTGGGCATGCACGCATACGTGCCTGAGGTGAATTTTAAGTCACTGGGTTCAGGACTTGAACTGTGATCGACTGTGTGGGAGTCCAGTGATGTAACCCTTACGCCATCTGCTGGTCCTGAAACATTTTTTTTTTTTAAGAATTATTTTATTTAACTTTATTTATTTATTTTTTATTTGGTCAGAGAAGGACAGAGAGAGAGAGAGAGAGAGAGAGAAAGAAAGCCAAGTAAGCCTCCGGGTGCAGGGCTTGAACTGTGGTTGGCCATGTGGGAGTCCAGCACCCTTAACCACTATGCCATCTGCCGGCCCCCTGAAAACTCTTTTTTAGAGAGAGATTTTGCTATAGGGCATATGGACTTACCAGAGACACAGAGAGAGACACACAGAGAGAATGTGAGAAATCATCTCCCCAGAGAGGATGGCCACACTGCAGTCCCTTCTCCTCCATTCTCCTCTTGGAATTTTGGGCATGCACACACATGCCTGGCATGATTTTAGTCGCTGGGTCTGGGGTTTGAACTGCGGATGACCTTGTGGGAGATCAGTGCCTTAACCACTATACCACCTGCTGGCCCTGAGAACTCATTTAAAAAAAATAATTATTTATTTAATTTTATTTATTATTATTATTATTTTAAAATCTGCTGTAGGGTGTGAGCACTCACCAAAGAGAGACAGAGAGAAAAAGTGGGAAAGCAAGCTGCCAGGTCCGGAACTTGAACTGTGGTCGACTATGTGGAAGTCTAGTAATGTAACCACTAGGCCATCTGCTTGTCCCAACATTTAATCCCCTTTTTTTTTTTTTTTTAAAGAATTATTTATCGGGGACCAGCAGTTAGCGTAATGGCTATGTCGCTGGACTCCCATGTAGTTGACTGTGGTTCGCGTCCCGGACCCGGTGGCTTGAAACTCAAGCCGGGTGCGTGTGTGTGCGTGCCCAAGATCCCAAGAGGAGAATGGAGGAGAAGGGATTGTGGTGTGGCCATCCCCCCTGGGGGGCGATTTCTCCCTTTCTGTCTCTCTGTCTCTCTCTGTCTGTCTGATGAGCACACGTGCCCTATAGTGAAAAACCTCTCCCCCCAAAAAAAATGTATTTATTTTTAAAAATTATTTGTGTATTCATTTATTTAAATTTGACCAGAGAGAGAGACATAAACAGAGACAGAGAGAGGGAAGGTGAGAAAGCAAGCCACCAGGTCCAGGACTCAAACCGAGGTTGGCCATGTGGGACTGTCCAGCGCCTTAACTACCATGCCAGCTGCTGGTCCCCAAGAATTATTCTATTTAACTTCATTTAAACTTCATTTATTTTAATTTTATCAGAGAGGGACAGAATGAGAGAGAGAGAGAGAGAGAGAGCGTGCACGAGACAGCGAAAGTGAGAAAGCAAGTTGCCAGGTCCAGGACTCGAACCTCAGTCTGCCCTGTAGGAGTCCAGTGCCCTCAACCACCACGCCACCTAGTGGCCCCCACAGTTCATCCCTTCTAGGATGCTGTATGACTTCATTTCCACTGAGGAGCGCCCCCTCCCTCCTGCTGCTGCTGGTTGTGGTGGTGGGGCCCTCCTTGCAAGTCTGGAAGGCTGGCGAGGGGTACCCCCAAGAGTGAACGTGAACGTGTGGTGTGTACGCACAGGCTGGATGAGAAATGCCCTGATCATTTCTGCCTCGGGGAGCTTGAGCCTTGCCCTAAGTCCTAGCGCTAAGGCAGGTTTCCCCCGCCCGGGGCCCCTCTTCCTTCCCTGGGGTGTAGACGCCTCTTGGCCTGTACTCCCCACTGCTGCCCCGCAGGTCTCCTTCCGCTACCATTGCCAGCTGTACTCCGAGTGGAGACGGACCCACCAGAAAGTGCGTCTGAAGATCCGGGAGGCGGACGGCTCCCAGGGCTCCCAGCACTCCCCACTGGCAACCGGGCTCTTGAAGAAGGTGGCAGACGAGACACCTGTGTGAAGGCCAGGCTGACAGAGAGCCCTGTGACAGAGACCAGAGCGAGTGGTGATGCCCCGGCTCTCGGAGGGACGGAAACTGCCCGACCCTTCCCGCACGGCCAGAACGCTTCTTAGGCCGAGACACCCAGCGGAGCCCATTCTAAGATCCTGCGTGGATGTACTTTCAGGTTTTTGCACAACCTTAATGTGACAAGGACAGGTGGGCGTGGTCCTGAGCTTCGGATGGAGCAGGCACCCTGATCTCATTCTGAGGTCCGTTTGGCACCTTCTGGGCCGCCAGCTGTGGCCAGCGTGTCAAGGACGCCCTCTGGGCTGGAAGGTTCCAGCAGGCTTCTTGCGCTTCTCTGCACCTGGCAGGCTCGCTTTTCTGGCACCCCTGACTTTATATAAAGTTGCACTGCGTTTCAAAAACCCCACCCCCCGAATGAATAAAAGGAGTTCTTGCTGGACAAAAGAGACTTGTCAGTGACTTTTCTGAATGGGAGGCCTCAAAGTGAGGGACTACCAGAGGTAAAAAATAAGCAATGTTTCTGCTTGTTTTGAGGCAGCTGTTATAAAGCCCACAGGAAGAAGCAGTTGGAGTTTTCAAGTGAAGAGCAGGTAGCAGGGTTATATAATAAATGATTTTTAAAAAAATATTTCATTTTATTTATCATAATTATTATTATAAGTTTTCACTTGACCAGAAAGAGACAGAGAGGGAAAGTAAGAAAGTAAGTCACCAGGTCTGGGACTCGAACTGCGGTCGGCTCTGTGAGAGTCCAGTGCCTTAACTGCCATGCCACCTGCTGGCCCCAATAAATGATATTTTGACTGTATATAAGAATAGTTTCTACTTACCTCACCTCTACTGTGGGCCCAGACACCAAGCTGGGCCTGCTATACTCACTAATAACTAATAGTGATAATATGCAGACTTAGAATACCAGAGGTGAGGCCCAGTTTTTTTTTTTTTTTTAAAGATTTTTTATTCAATTTTATTTATTTACTTTAATTAACTAGAGAGGAACTGGGTGGGGAGGGAGGGGAGTGAGAAAGCTAGCCACCAGGTCCGGGACTCTTAACTGTGGTCAACCATGTGAGAGTCTAGTACCGTTATTCAGTACGCCACCTACCGGTCCCAAGGCCCAGTTCTGAGCCTCAAAACTAATATTTTCCCCTCCTCTGACTATTTATTTATTTATTTATTTTTGAGATATTTTTGCTATAGGGCATGTGTGCTCGCTGGAGATACAAAGAGAGAGAGAAAGACAGGAAGACAGCGAGAAATCACTTCCCAGGGGGATGGCCACACCATAATCCCTTCTCCATTCTCTCAGGATTTGAGGCACATGTGCACACACACCCAGTGTGAGTTTTAAGTCACCTGGTCCAGGACTTGAACTAGCCATGTGGGAGTTCTAGCAACATAACCATTATGCCATCTGCTGGTCCCTGACTGTTCATTTATTTTTTTTGGAGAGATTTTCACTGTAGGGCGCGTGCGCTCGCCAGACAGACAGAGAGAGACATAGAGACAGAAAGCGAGAAATCACCCCCCAGGGGGGATGGTCACGCCGCAATCCCTTCTCCTCCATTCTCCTCTCGGGATCTTGGGCACGCACGCACACGCGCCCGGCGTGAGTTTTAAGCCACCGGGTCCGGGACATGAACCGCGGTCGACTACGTGGGAGTCCAGCGACATAGCCATTACACTAACTGCTGGTTCCCTGTTCATTTATCTTTTAATTTGACCAGAGAGGGACAGAGAGAGAGAGAGAGAGAGAGTGTGAGAAAGCAAGCTGTCAGTCCAGGACCCAAACCACAGTTGGCCATGTGGGAGTCCAGTGCCCTTAACCGCCACACCACCTGCCAGTGCCTATTTACTTATTTTTTAAGAATTATTTTATTTAATTTACCATTATTATTTTACTTATTTCCAGAGAGAGACGGGGAGAGGGGAATTGAGAATGCAAGTCTCTGGGTCCGGGACTTGAACCCGCGGTAAGCCATGTGGGAGTCCAGCACCCTCAACCACCTTGCCACCTGCTGACCCCATTTTTTAAATTTTCCCAGAGGGCAAATGTATTCACCAGAGAGAAATGGGGGGTGGCGTGGGGTGGGGAGGAATAGGGGTGTTGGTGAAGAAAGCATGCCCCATGGGGCATGGTCATGCCTCAATACCTTCTTCTCCATCTCTCTTTCTTCTCAGGATTTTGGGCATGCGTGCACACGTGCTCAATGTGTTTCTCAAGCTGCTGAGTCCAGGACTTGAACTGTGCTATTAGCCATGTGGGGTCATGCCGCCTTCACCACCATGCCACCGACTGCCCCATCCCTGACTTTGGTTACCATCCTCAAAGGGAAGGAGAGTATTACCTCCATCTTACAGGTGAGAAGACTGAGGTGGGGAAGGTTTAGTCTAAAGTCCCCTAGCTGCAGGAAGTGGAGTTGGGGTGACCTCAGGTCTGCCCTGCCCCAATGCTGAGTTTCATGCCCTCTTTCCAGGAAGACTCAGGAAAAAAGTGCAGTGTGGTCATGCCAAGAATGGCACCTATTTCTCTTCTTTTTTTTAGAATTATTTTATTTACTTATTCATTTATTTTAATTTGACTAGAGAGGAATACAGTGAGAGAGAGAGAGAGAGAGGAAAGTCTCTAGGTCCAGGACTTGAACCATGGTCGGCCATGTGGGAGTCCAATGCCCTTAACCACGCCACCTGCCGGCCCCAATGACACCTGTTTCTTTAGTGCTTTCTACATGCTGAGTCTTTTATTTAACTTTTAAAAATTATTAATTTATTGGGGCCGGCAAGTGGCATGGTGGTTAAAGGCACTGGACTCCCCACATGGCCAACCACGGTTCAAGTCTCGGACCTGGTGGCTTGCTTTCTCACTTCCTCTCCCTGTGTTTGTGTCTCTCTGATCAAACTGGAAAATAATAATGATAATAATAATAAATAAAGTTAAATAAAATAATTCTTTAAAAAATATTTATTATTATTTTTCTAAGTTTTAGAGCACACATGTGCACCAGAGAGAGAGACAGAGAGAAAGAGAAAGAGAGAGAGAGAGAAGGAAAATGAGAAACCAAGGCACCAGAGAGAGAGAGAGAGAGAGAGAGAGAGAGAGAGAGAGAAAGTGAAAAAGCATCCCCCGCCCATGGAGCATGGTCACACTGCAATCCCTTTTCTTCCATCTCTCCCTTCTCTGGAGATTTTGGACATGCATGCATATGTGTCTGGTGTGTTTTTCAAGCTATCAGGTTGGATACTCAAACCATGCAGTTGGCCATGTGAGATCCAGCAGCCTTAACCCCCAGGCCATAGGCTGGCCCATTTGTCTACATTTAATTCTTTTATTTTTTTAAGAATGATTTTATTTAACTTTATTTATCTACTTTTTAAAAAATTTGACCAGAGAAGGACAGAGCGAGAGAGAGAGAGAGAGAGAGAGAGAGGGATAGAGGGAAAGCAAGATGCCA